AAAATGATTACGCTCGGCGCGTAAAGTAAACTTTCGTGTAAATCAGTTCGCGGAACATCTGGAAGCTTCGTTTCTGCGCGGTTCTGTTTAAAAATATTCCAAGATTTCGCCGGTATCTGTCGGCCAGCTCTCTCAGCGGTGAACCGGAATCGCTTTGAATACGCGAGCAAAATCGTTCACGGCGAATATTCAGCGGCCGGTTTCTCCGCCGTCTGAAATATCGCCTGAAAATCCTCGGCCACCGGGTATATAACGCATATACCGGTCTCTCCCTGGTGTCAAGGTGCTTGAAAGTTTAAAAGTGGCGTACTCGGTTGGCTCTCGTTTTACCTCATTTTCCTAACGCTTTTGAGTGCCATTACGCTCATATATCCCGCGAAATTCGCAGCCGGCGACACCTTGCCGCCGAGAAATTTATAGTTTGAAAGATAGCGGCCCATGATACACTTGAGCCGGCCGGCTAAGTGTATGTAGAACAGGGGAATCGGCAGGGACGGATGATCCCGAGGGATAAAGGGAGATGATTTCTGCCCTTAAGAGGGTCCCTACGCGCGTCATGCCGCGTTCCGACAGTCCTGAGATCTCTCCTATCCTCCCTTTCTCTCTTTTTTCTCTCCCTCAATTTTTCTCTCCTTCTCTCTTTTTTCTCTCCCTCAATTTTTCTCTCTTTCTCTCTTTTTCTCTCTCTCTCAATTTTTCTCTCTTTCTCTCTTTTTTCTCTCCCTCAATTTTTCTCTCTTTCTCTCTTTTTTCTCTTCCTCCCTCTCCCTTTCCCTTTCTCTCTTTTTTCTCCCGCTCCCTTTCTCTCTCTTCCTCGCTTTTTTCTCTTCCGCTCTCTCCCTTTCCCTTTCTCTCTTTTTTCTCCCGCTCCCTTTCTCTCTCTTCCTCGCTTTTTTCTCTTCCGCTCTCTCCCTTTCCCTTTCTCTCTTTTTTCTCCCGCTCCCTTTCTCTCTCTTCCTCGCTTTTTTCTCTTCCGCTCTCTCCCTTTCCCTTTCTCTCTTTTTTCTCCCGCTCCCTTTCTCTCTCTTTTTTCTCTCTCTCCATTTTTCTCTCTTTCTCTCTTTTTTCTCCCTCTCCCTTTCTCTCTCTTTCTCCCTTTTTTCTCTCCCTCTCTCTCCCCTCCCCTTTCTCTCTTTTGTCTCCCGCTCCCTTTCTCTCTCTTTTTTCTCTCCTCCATTTTTCTCTCTTTCTCCCTTTTTTCTGCCGCTCCCTTCCTCTCTCTTTCTCTCTTTTTTCTCGCCCTCCCTTTCTCTCTCTTTCTCCTTTTCTCTCTCTCTCTCTCTCTCTCTCTCTCTCTCTCTCGTCTATGGTGGCGTGTCTGCGCCGAAAGGCGAAGAGAAAGACGGTAATGCTTGTCCATCTGTCAATCCACCCCACCAGTTCGCGTGTATCCGAACCTATTACTGCGAGGACACCGAAAGCCAGAACTTCTAAACCGGGCGGGTTACAGCGCCCGTGGCTTTTCTTTTAATTCTGAGATTGCCCGACGACATTCGTTTCCGTGATTCATGGATCCTCGGATTCAGCTCCTGAACAGGCTCGATCACACCGGGTGTTTCGTGGTTTGCGTTCGCTCTAAAGCACGCGACACTTTAATGAATAATCTAGTGTTCCAGATTAATCCGGCTCGATAGTCTCGACTCGATGACGAAGAGGTCATTCTGTCTGTCTCGGTCCTTCGATCTCTGTTCGCAATGAACGCTCAATATAATCTATATATGTGTACGTATACATATAGATATATGTATACACATATATATACACATATACATGTACAGAGAGAGAGAGAGAGAGAGAGAGAGAGAGAGAGAGAGAGAGAGAGATTATATATATATATCTATATNGAGAGAGAGAGAGAGAGAGAGAGAGAGAGAGAGAGAGAGAGATTATATTTATATATCTATATCTATATCTACATATCTATATATATATAGAGATTATATTTATATATCTATATCTATATATCTATATATATATCTACATATCTATATATATATAGAGATTATATTTATATATCTATATCTATATATCTATATATATATATATTAAATTACTTAACTATTAAATCTATTTAGCGCTTTAAAGAGAGCGCGCGAGTAATAGTGCGCTTTAAAGAGAGCGCGCAAGTAAGAGAGCGCTTTAAAAAGAGCGCGCGAGTAAGAGAGCGCTTTAAAGAGAGCGCTTTAAAGAGCGCGCGCGAGTAAAAAAGCGCTTTAAAGAAAGCGCGCGAGTAAGAGAGAGAGAGAGATTATATTGAGTATATAACATCCAACCAGCTGCGAATATTACTCGAAAATCGATCGCGTCCCAAAAATTAATTTCGTCCGCATTAGGCGAAATTGTGCGCATTGAAATCTAAATCGCGTATTGCTAGTCCGCAATTTGCCGAACATTTTACATTCTTTTGTTCGGTTTCGCGACGCCATTCGACCATCGTCGTCGATCCGCCTTTTGCAAACCGTACGAACCACGAACCGGATCGTGTCAAATATTTGCTGGTCGAACGTAACGCGCCGCCAACAATTCTCGATTCCGTATAATAACTCCTTTCACTAGATATTCGGTTGTTCGAATGATCCATTCGCGTGTCCCGTCCCTGTCGTTCGTACACGCACGAATGCACAAAGGAGGCACGGCTCCGCTTAAACATCCTGTTAGCAGTCCAGTACCATAATCTCCATGCTTATGTGTCATCGAAACGCGCCGCCGGCCTTCCGCACATTTATCGAGAGCAACCTGCGGAATCGAACGCGTCGTGCCGCCGCGTGGAAATTCTATTTCCGACGGTGAAACCGAAAGGAACACGGCCGGAATGTTACGGTAGATTCTCTCTAATTGACCCTCGGATTGTACACGAAAATGGACAATTTCGGGAACAGGAGATACGATTCATCGAGCGATACGATTATCACTCGTTTTCACAGCGTTGACAGTCGTTAATTATAAAAACCGAGGCGCAAGGCTCGATTAATCGTATCTCCTCTTCCCAAATTTTGGTCCATTTTTGTGCAGAAGCCGAGCGTCAATTACCAAAAATTTACAGTATTTTCATAGCGTCGACAATCGTTAATTATAAAAAAAGGAGGCGCGAGGCTCGATTAATCGTAGCACCTCTTCCCTAATTTTTGTCCATTTTTGTGCAGAATCCGAGCGTTAATTACCAAAAATGTACAGCATTTCTAAAACAACGAAATACAAATTATGTTTGAAGATGAAATGAAACCACGAAATTAAAAACTCCAAATTAACCGCCAACGCGCGTCGTTGCCCAATTTCCTCCAAATATCGTACACGTCGGTTTCTCGCTAAATATCACAGTTTAGAAATTAGTTAGAAAAAGATTAAAATTAAAATTAAATAGAAATACAACTTAGAAAAATATTTTCATCCCCGATATGAAAATATTCTCATAGCGAAGGGGTTCGGGCACAAGGAGATGGTCGGCGTCCGCGCCACCGTTTCGCAATGTGCGGTTAGTCCCGCGGCTCGTAGAAATACGCAGGGGTTTATAGGATAGAGAAGCAATCGCATTGACCACGAACCTTTTTCCTATTACAGAGATTCTCGGCGGGGGATTTCAATGATACGCGTTTAAGCCAGGGGTGGCGGTCGGCGCGATCGGCAGGAGGGCGGACAGGACAGAAGGCGGCACCTCGTTTCTTGCGTGCACAGAGGATTGAGGAGAGAGCCTTGTCGTGGTGAGCGCCGCTAACGGAGAGACGGAGGAAAGGAGAGAGAGAGGACGAGAGTGAGAGCGCGCGAAGGACAGAGCGCGTGGAAGACATAGCGCGCGAGAGAGACAGCGCGCGAGGGACAGAGCTGTCGAGAGACAGAGCGCCCGAGGGACAGAGCGCGAGAGACAGAGCGCTCGAGTGACTGAGCGCGCAAGGGACAGAGCGTTCGAGAGACAGAGCGCGCGAGTAACAGAGCGCGAGAGAGGGGGAGCGCGCGAAAGACAGAGCGCTCGAGAGACAGAGCGCCCGAGGGACAGAGCGCGAGAGACAGAGCGCTCGAGTGATAGAGCGCGCAAGGGACAGAGCGTTCGAGAGACAGAGCGCGCGAGTAACAGAGCGCGNTCGCTAAATATCACAGTTTAGAAATTAGTTAGAAAAAGATTAAAATTAAAATTAAATAGAAATACAACTTAGAAAAATATTTTCATCCCCGATATGAAAATATTCTCATAGCGAAGGGGTTCGGGCACAAGGAGATGGTCGGCGTCCGCGCCACCGTTTCGCAATGTGCGGTTAGTCCCGCGGCTCGTAGAAATACGCAGGGGTTTATAGGATAGAGAAGCAATCGCATTGACCACGAACCTTTTTCCTATTACAGAGATTCTCGGCGGGGGATTTCAATGATACGCGTTTAAGCCAGGGGTGGCGGTCGGCGCGATCGGCAGGAGGGCGGACAGGACAGAAGGCGGCACCTCGTTTCTTGCGTGCACAGAGGATTGAGGAGAGAGCCTTGTCGTGGTGAGCGCCGCTAACGGAGAGACGGAGGAAAGGAGAGAGAGAGGACGAGAGTGAGAGCGCGCGAAGGACAGAGCGCGTGGAAGACATAGCGCGCGAGAGAGACAGCGCGCGAGGGACAGAGCTGTCGAGAGACAGAGCGCCCGAGGGACAGAGCGCGAGAGACAGAGCGCTCGAGTGACTGAGCGCGCAAGGGACAGAGCGTTCGAGAGACAGAGCGCGCGAGTAACAGAGCGCGAGAGAGGGGGAGCGCGCGAAAGACAGAGCGCTCGAGAGACAGAGCGCCCGAGGGACAGAGCGCGAGAGACAGAGCGCTCGAGTGATAGAGCGCGCAAGGGACAGAGCGTTCGAGAGACAGAGCGCGCGAGTAACAGAGCGCGCGAGTAACAGAGCGCGAGAGAGGGGGAGCGCGCGAAAGACAGAGCGCGCGAGAGACAGAGTGCACGTGAGACAGAGCGCGCGTGAGACAGAGTGCGCGTGAGACAGAGCGCGAGTAACAGAGCGCTTTAAAGAGAGCGTGCGAGCAACAGAGCGCTTTAAAGCGAGCGCTCGACTAACAGAGCGCTTTAAAGCGAGCGCTTGACTAACAGAGCGCTTTAAAAAGAGCGCTTTAAAGAAAGCGCTTTAAAGCGCGCGCGTCACAGAGAAAAGTAGGTAAACGGATAGACGAATACAAAGCCGCAAAGAGCAATACGGAAGTAGAAGATAAGAGCCGCAAGATGTCCGATAGAGTCGCGGAAACGAATCTGCAGCCAGGCCGCTTGAAGATCTCGTAATTGGCCTCCAGTCGCGCGGGAACCGAAGTAGATCGAGATGGAGGCGAGGGGGAACGGGTCCCTGCTCGGATCCATCGCGAGGAACTTGTCGTCGGAGGATCCGCGGCATCCGGACGAACTATTCAACGCGGACGTGACCGTCCTGAACGACGACGAGGGTATCCTCTCGAGAAACGACGGCGACGGTCCGAGCAGCGGCGTCGAGCTGGCCTGGTACAACGACACGACGACGATCGGCTCGACGTTCAGCGACTCGTGGTTCACCGGCTCGTCGTCGTCGTCCTTGTCCTCGTCCTCGTCCTCTTCGTCGTCGGCGTCGTCCACGTCGTCGCCCTCTTCGTCGTCGTCGTCGTCGTCGTCGTCCACCGGATACTCGTCGACGACCGTCGACACCGACAACTACACCGGTCTGTTCGACTTCGAGGACCTGAACGGCTACTTCAATCAGCTGAACGAATTCGTGAACCTGACCTACTACGCCGGAAGTGGCAACCTGAGCCTGAACGGGACCGTGAACTGCACGTCGTCGATCGTCGCGGGGACCGCGGCCGGTGTCGTCACGGTCGGCGAGTGCGGGTCCGCCGACGACGAGAAAACGGACGCAAATAGCTGGTGGGCCCTGATCCTGGTGATCGTGCCGTGTTTAACGCTGTTCGGTAACGTGCTCGTCATACTCGCGGTGGTGCGCGAGAGGGCCCTGCAGACCGTCACCAATTACTTCATCGTCAGCCTGGCTGTCGCCGATTTGCTCGTCGCCGTGCTCGTCATGCCGTTCGCTGTGTACTTTCTGGTGAGTCTGGCAATGCTGTTCTCCTGCATGCGCCGATAGCAGAGTTATAAATTTAAGCGTCGTTAATTAGAATCTCATTATCGGTGATCATAATTTCTTAAATTATAATTAAGTGTAATTTTTTAAGTTGTCATTAATTACAATTTTTTAAATTGTCATTAATTATAATTTTTGAAATTATCATTAACTACAATTTTTTAAATTATCATTAATTACAATTTTAAATGGCCATTAATAATAATTTTTTAGATTATAAATAATCACAATTTTTTAAATGGTCATTAATAATAATTTTTTAGATTATAAATAATCACAATTTTTTAAATTGTCATTAATTATAATCTTTTGAATTATAATTTAAATAAATAATAATAAATTATAATAATAGAGACGTAGTTGACTATATTAAGCAATTGCATCATAAAACAGCTGATTTTTAATTTTAAGCGAACATCTTTTTCCCAAATGTAACACAGCAATTATAAATGAAATTTTGCAGTTACTCACGTTCTCCGTATACAACGCGTCGTTATTTCTGTTTATCTTTTTCCATGGAAGAGGAGCAATAAATTTGATCTGAAAGCTTAAATGCTCAAATTAAAAGATAAAAATTCAAAGATTACATTCCAGATTTTTGCATTAAAAGTCGGATATTTCTGTTTGAGATTTTGAATCGGTTTTTGTCTGACTCGAATATAGAATTGTTCATGTTCAACTGTTGCAGGAAATTGTTATAACGTTTGCTACAATAAGCACAAATAATTGACCTCTTCGTATATTAATAAGGCTTATATTTAGCCCCCTTTCTCCAAGAAAACGCTAAAAGTAAAATCGTGGGTTGCACGGCCTTCCGCGATTTTTGACCTTTTTTTAAAGAAAAGAACTTCTCGCAGAGCGTTCCCATCTTTATTTAACAAATGACGCGTGAAATTCTTCATTAATGAAATCTCTGTAGCCGGGGTACTCTCTCTCGCGGTATTTTTAAACGAGTCACTCGTACGTCTAATTAACCGCGGAAAGCCAAGATCCTTTTGTTTCAAGTTAAGTTCTTCATGAATGAAAAGTCTCTGTTGCGCTGCTACTCTTTCACTCAGTATTTTTAAACGAGTCACTCGTACATTTTATTAATGTCAGAAAGCCAAGATCTTTTTTATAAACCGTCGAAGCGTGCGTAGAACTTGCTTATACCCACGCTTTTCGCGTAGGTGGACGCGTGATATCTTTTTCAATGCAATGGCACCTTTTTTGCATTGCTCTGCGACAGTCGAATCGACGATCGACGAAGATCATTCGGGGCCTAATGAGGAAGTATTGGGTTGGCAACTAAGTAATTGCCGATTTCAGTTATAGATGTCTCTCACTCTCATTTTTATGATATCCGTAAATGTTATATTATAAAATTATTATTATTATTATTATGTTATTTTTTATTATCCGTGAACGTTAGCAACTGGACAAATTGAATGCAGCGGTCAAGGAAAAGCGACCAGAATTGGTCAATCGTAAAGGTGTCATTTTCCAGCAGGACAATGCTAGGCCGCACACGTCTTTGTCCACTCGGCAAAAATTGATGGATATTGGTTGGGAATCGATGTTACACCCACCGTATAGCCCTGATCTCGCGCCATCGGATTACCACTTATTTCGATCCCTGGACAACACCCTTCGTGGTAAAACTTTTAACGATGATGACGCTGTAAAGTCTCACTTAACTCAGTTTTTGGCCGAAAACGATCAGACTTTCTACGAGCGTGGAATTTTCAAGTTGTCGGAGAGATGGC